TAAAGCGTAAATTTTGTACAGGATGCTGAAGTCCTTAGATTTGCAATACGCCCGTTTTAGTTGACGTAGTTTAGCCCTAGCTTTGTAGGTGATATAAGGAGTAACTGTTTTGAAAGACGTTTTGAGTGGGATAGTCGTGTCTAGAGCAGATTTGATGGTGACGTTGAATATATGTAATGCATCAGAAAGTTCAAGACAAGAAAAAAAATCAGTCCAGTCGGAGTGCTGAATTAGAAACCGAAAGCTGTCCCAGTCAGCATGTTTATAGTCTCTGTATTGAAAACGGTTTACTGTTTTAGATTTGTCACATTTAGCAAAAAACGGAAGGGTGCAGAGGACAATTTTATGGTCACTGTTGTGAAACGTTTCGCAGACAGACACAGATGTCGGGGTGACATCGTGACAAAATACCAAATCGAGGATGTTGTGGTTCCTAGTAGGCAGGTGCACATGTTGTTGCCAACCGTGTGTGTCTAGGGGACCAAGTAAGCTATCAAATCGTAGTGGGCCGGAATGTGTCCGCCAGTTGATTCCAGGGAGGTTGAAGTCACCACAAATAATTTTGCAGGTGAATTTAAGACAGGCAGCCCTGGCAAACGACTCACCAATAGCAACGTCAACCGATCGACGAGTGTTGCGTCGCCAACAACTGTGCTCCCGACTCCCCATCCATACTCGGCAACGTACGGCGCAGCAGCATCGTGAGCTCTACAGCCAGCACCAACGGGTCATCATCAGACGATAGCCTGGCCGACAGGAACCTCTGCGACGACTCCTCCCTGTCCACCGAGCTGTCGAACTCTGTCATCATCCGCCCGGTGACCGCCTTCCACGCCGTCTTCCTGACAGCTACGTCCAGGCCGTCCTATTGTTGTGTGTGCTACTTGTTATAATTTGTATAAGAAGGGACGTGAAAGAAGAACTCTCACGGTCACTAGTGGAAAACGGAAAACATATAGAGCAAAAGCAAGAAGTAAATGGAGTATCGACAGGAAGTAAAGGAAGCAAAAGCAGGAATGGAAGAAGGCTGGAGCGCTGGAAGTCAGGACTCAAAGATGGTGTGCAAATAGAGTGTTCAATGTAATGTTTTCGTTTTCAATTGACTCAGAGTGTAAATTTGCTAAATACAATCTATCGAGCCTGCCTCAGTCTTCTCAATTGATGTCGCTGCCTCTACACAGGATGAAGTTACCATGGCCCCGAGTGTTTGAAGACGGAGATGTAAGGAGCTTCTTGAAGGAGTTTGAGGCCGTGGCGGAGCTGGTCGGAGTCAAGGAATGGAGGGCGAATGCGGTGGTGCTGAGGACTCTACTAAGAGGCTGAGTGAGAGCGGTATGCGATAGTGTGGAGGACGCTGACTGGAAGGTGGTGACGGAAAGGCTGCTAGTGGAGTTCGACTGCTCGGTGGATAGGCAGGACGCGCTGCAGAAGTTTCGAGAGGCGCGACCGTCAGTGGATGGCGACCCACTCGTGCTGGCCGTGGAGTTGACAAGATTGCTGCGCCGGGTTCTGCCAACTTTGGATGAGGAGTCATAAGCACAGCTGCTATCCTCGCAATTCATTGAAAGTTGGCCTACAGAGGTTGGCCCACAATTGAGACTGGTGAACGCGGCACAACCAATGGACGTCACCGAGCTGGCGAAAGTAACAAGACAACTGATGAACTCAACGGTCGCCTCGGTGGCGTGTGAAAGACAGGCTAATGATGTCGTGAAGAAGATAGAAGAATTACAACGAGAGGTGGCAGCGTTACGAATAAAGGGTGAAAGAAATAATAAATGCCATATTTGCGGAGGAACCGGACATTGGATGAGGAATTGCCCAACAAGACGAAAACGCCCCTGATTGATACAGTGGCGGCAGTTTCGTTAATAGACAAAGAGCGGTGTAGAAATATCAGGCCGAGTGCATCAGTTGTTGACACCATCGGAGGCCACGTGTTAAAAATCCTAGGAGTCTCAAATGATATCGTGAAAATCGGCATTTCGGAAATACAGTTTCCCTTTGTGGCAACTGCGAACTTGTCGAGACCAATACTAGGAGCAGATTTCTTGAGAGAAGTAGGAGCAATTATTGATACGAGAAGTAAGAATGTGATTACAAAGTACGGCACACTGACAATACATGAAAGCAGCGAGGTGTCTGAGGTTAGAGTAGCAAAAGAGGACATTGGAAAGAAACAGAACATTAACGAGGTGCTCACGAAATATACGAAGTTGTTCACGGGAGACGGAGAACCGTACGGATTTTGTAATAAAGCTAAACATGAAATTCCGATAAAGAACGAAGAAGTGACAATCTTCACAACACGACGGGTCCCCGTACATTTGGAAGCTGAGATAAACCTGCATGTACAGGAGATGTTAAAGGCAGGTATACCTGAAGAAGCAGATAGCCCGTACAGCTCGCCGCTACTTTTGGTAAAGAAGCCAAATGGTAAGTATAGATTCTGTGTTGACTTTAGAGAACTGAATAAAAAGACAGAAATAAAACCATGTGCAATGCCAACAATAGCGGAGACATTAGATCGTCTACAGAGTGCTACGGTGTTCGCAGTGTGAGATTTACGGTCGGGCTATTGGCAGCTACCAATAAAAGACTGATCGCAGCAAAACGGCATTTATCGTACGGGAGAAGCAGTATCAATTTAAACGAATGCCCTTTGGATTGGCGGGCGCACCGTTTACGTTTCGAAGACTAATGACATTGCTGCTCAGAAACCTGGAGAATGTCGAGGTTTATGTCGATAAATATACGTATATAGTCGTACAGAGGCAAAACATGTGAGGCACGCGGAGGCGGTCCTAAGGCGAATTGATGAGTTTGGTTTACGAATTAACAAAGACAAGTCGCAGATAGCGAAAAGAAGCGTCACGTTGCTGGGGCATAAAGTAGGCAATGGAGAAATAAAACCACTGCCGGAGAAGATTCTAACGATAAAGAATATTGCAGTTCCCAACTCAAAAAGGAAGTTAAGACAATTCCTGGGAAGAGCGGCGTTCTACAGCAGATTCGTGAAGAACTTCAACGACACAGCAGCACCTCTATATAAAGTGCTAAGCAATGCGAAGTTTACGTGGACAGAGACCGCTCAAAAAACCTTCAACCGAATCAAAGAGCTGTTAGATGACCGCCAAATGACGCTGAGACTGCCGGAACCCGAGAAGCCATTTACAGTGACCACTGATGCGAGCGATCACGGTATAGGTGCGGTCTTGAGGCAGTCTGACAGAGTGGTGGAGTATGCCAGCCGTGTCCTTACGCCGACAGAAGAGAAGTATTCCAAATAAGAAAAAGAGTGTCTAGCGATTGTATGGGCGGTAGACAAATGGAGACCTTATCTACTGGGTCGGCGATTTCACATCGAGACGGATCATAAGCCCCATACAATGGTTGAAAACAGCAAAAGACCCCCGGGGAAAGTTGGCTCGATGGATGCTACGTCTGCAGGAGTATGGTTTTAGCATCGGGCATGTGCCAGGGGAGGAAAATGTAATGGCAGATTTTTTGTCAAGACCGGACACCAAAGCCGAACTTCCAGAGATAGCGTGTGCAGTTAACGGCCTAGAGGGAGATCCCTTTGAACTCGTCCGACATCAAAGAGCTGACCCTAAACTTCGAGAGGTGTATAAGTGTACAGCCAGTTATTTATTTCGAGTGACGTTTGTTCACTTTTCTCGTCTATCAGCTTCACACAACATGAATAGATTGGAATCTATGGTTTACATCGCACCGTGTATTTACGTCATTTCAATGTTTAACTGGTTATCTGTTTGCTTTTTTCATCCTTGATATCAATAGAAATATCAAGTTATGAAAATGTTTCTCAAATTAACGGCTATGAGGTAACAACAACGTTTGTGATTTCAAACAAATCAGAATGATTATTACTCCAACTTGGTATAATGGCAAAACATTTCCGCGAAACGTAGTTTTCCCACTATACCAACTTAACTGAACACGCTAAAAAGGAAGATTTCAGAATGACTTGAATACCTTATTTGTACCAAAAAATAATAAATAAAGACGTAATTCGATTTAAGAGAAATTAATTGAGAAAACTGCTTATGAATCTAGTAGTACATCTGAGCATGAGATTCTGATTAGTATAGATGATCCAATGATGTGTGGTAAGCAAGCCACTATTTTGATCGTTTTAAAACCATAGTATAACGTTGATTAGTGAACAGCTCGTTATTTAATTCAGGCGGCAATCAGGTTTGTTTAATTTCACTGAGTAGCATATATTATCAATTATTTCATTAATTAATGTGTGTTCAAATTGTAACAATATCATTTCGATCGATGTTCACACATATAATGTTATTATCTTGTTGCTTCCTAATCATTACTAATACTGTTTCATTTATCAATCAATATATAATTATTTAACTAATAACATATTAGCTGATCAGTTAAGCAAAATAACTTGTCACTCTAAAGATAGAATTAGTGTTTAGCTTCAGCATTAGGAGATAATGATGAAAATATCTCTCAAAAGGAAATTCAAACAAATAGTGATGGTTTTATACAACCACGCAAAAAAATCAGTGTTGATAGTAGTTTTATTTGATAAAAATTTCGTAGCGATGTTTTGTTTGTATAACTTTGCATCATAAGTAATTCATCGAAGCATTGCTATACCATAAAAACGATACTTGAAAAAAAAACGTCAACCACTTCAAACTGATTCCACGTGTACATCATCAGGTTATCATGTGCAAAGCTAGTTTACAAATTTGATTTTTTTGTTGTTGAGTAAACCAAGTATAATTTGCATAACCAGTACAGTGATTGTGTCAGTGTGTAAGCCCCTTCAGTGTATCACTAATAACAAACAACACATTCATCAAATGCTGTGCAATCAGTGTTACTTATCAATACTTTGCATCAATATGATTGCATAATATTTTGCTGCAATCATCATCATTAGCCAATGAATAACGTTTCATGATTATATATAAAAGCAAAAGTGCACTGTGAGTTGTTTCAAAAAGAAAATGCGCATCATATTGATTCACTTCATCAACGTGTTCATTTTGCTTATCCAAGCATCCGTACAAAATGGTAAGCCAGTAACATTTTTTTCAGTAAACTTTATGAATTTATGAACATACTACTACAACACATTTGAAAAAACAAAAAAAAACAAGTTTTATAGATCGAACCAGCATGTACAATTTTCTGCAGCACAATCTTTTCATATTCAGTCATATGTTTATTGTAAGATTTGATTCTTGTTTTACCGGTGGTGTCAATACATAAACACTTGTGTTTACATTTATTTCAGATGAAATGAGCAAGTTGAATGAAGATATAGAGAATAACAAAAGTAAGCAACAGTATAAATTACATACTTTATGTGGTACAGTGTTTTACATTCTATTGTTAATTTCACCTTTTGTCATCAAATTCATTAGGTTCAATAAAAGTTATTTGAAAATTCCATAACTTACGCTTTACTGCATGTTACCGATGTTACATTCGCTGTATTCGAAATAATGTATTTTATGACTGGTTTTTTATTCAACCATTAGTAAATCGTTGCTCACATTACTGATATATAATCATCATTAACCAAGCGTTTGTTTTATTTCAAATCTAGAAGTAATTATTAATGACATCAAACTCGTCCGTGAGCTAAAACAAACTTTGATGGAGGAAATAGGTAATTTCGCTATTCAAAATATTTCATCATTGAAATTAGTGTTGATGGACGACGTCAAGCACGTATTCAAATTGTGAATATATAGCAATGAATTCAACTTCATTAAAGCTTAGGAACTTTCACAGACATTATACGCACTGTGACTTATGTGACTGCAGAATTAAATGTCTTACAAATATATGGGCTGTTTATACAGACCATAGCAATAATGGTGTTGAAATGGAATACAGACTACAGAACTTGACAAGTTTGTCTATTTGAAGAAAACACTATTTGATTTGTTTCGGACATATTTAACAGATAGATGGTGGAATTCACGTTGCAATTAACCTCTACATGTTTTTTTGTACCCTTCAGATCGGTCAGATAATTCTAGAAATAATAAATGGATTTCAATCAATGATTGTAAGAGTATTATTTTAACCAAAATTATGATTGTAGATGTGGAATGCACGACCCAACGTTTGAAAGGCGATCGTGGCCAAAAGTTCACTGTGGGTGGGTAGAAACTTTTGCCAGCACAATTTCAAGTCACAGTTCACAGAGTTGTTATTAATCAATCAATAGGCGTGAAAATTTCGTGAAAGGTTTCATGTCAGTTTTATATTGAACTGCGACCGTAGAAGAGTTAAAGACCTATTTAGTAGTTGATTTTCCATACATGTAATTGGTAACATTGAATAGATGAAATACATGCAGTTGTGCATTTAAGTATCAGTGAAAATATTTATACTATAGATAATATGTTGTCTGAGGTATGTGATCCTAATGAATGTGTTACACAAACGAATGAATACCATAATCACGTTTTCGCTACAAAATAGCTACAACTAAATCCTGTTCAAACATTATACTAATTGAGTTAAATCGTGAATACTGTGAGAGTGAAACTCAGCCGAAACTTTTATTCTGTGATGATTTGACAGTGTAAATTCTCATGCCAATTTTACAACAACTGGAAACATTTAATTATCACTAATCGATTTCTTTTGTTTCTCCCATTATTATCCTAGAAGCGGAAGCAATGTTGAGTGAAGAATCGAATAAATATGATTGTAAGTGTTCCTTAGAAGGCTTTCATGCATCAGTAATTGATATAAAGCAGATTTTACACATAAATCCTCCATGTTGTAAATTTAGTCAAATGTGATGATAAGTTGAATGGCTGTGTTTCAGACTACAGCATTGTTATGTCATTTATTATTCAGTAAATCATATAACATGGTGCACATTTATGTTGATTCAATGTTGACTTAACTTTTATTTCATTTATTCACACTCGATTTACTTGGTAGTAAGCTCTGAGGAGTTATTGAGGCGACTACCGTGTTTAAAAAATAAAACAAAACTATTTCAAGGTAAGATGCGTTACAGTATTAAGCACTGACAAATTGCGTACCAGTCTTATTAATTTAATTTTTTTATGAGTGATTTATGTTGCTGAAATCATGAATACTGACAGAAGGACAGTTATTTATACACACGCTTAAACCTCAATTCCATATTTCTTACTTCGGATAAGTCACATCTGATCAAAGGCCCGGATTGTAAGTAAATATGAGCAAATTATATGGTTTAAAATTGTCAAGCTGACGACGAGGAGAAAGTCGAACTTTCTTTTTGACATACTTCAATGAAACATTTTTCTATTAATATTAGAATCAATCAAGCACTTAACATTCGTTTCGTTTTGATGTTTAAACAGAGTTATCCGCTAATCACGATGAGTTAAAATGTTTTTTCTTGGTGACAAAGACTACAAAAAAAGGTAATTTTGAGTGCATCATTTTGATAACAATGAATGAGCGAACAATAAGAAGGCGTTTGTTTTGCTTTCCATTAACTACTTCAGCACACTAAGCATTTTGTAAAATGAGAAATGGATCAAGATATCTTCCCAAAACATACTTGTGAGGAACTTAAATCTTATTGATATAACACTGAAAATTAGTATTGGTCACATTAAAAAAACCGGAGTTTGATTCCATGACTACACAAATATAATCTACCAGTGCTCTGAAATACTCACACTTACAATTATCTCATGGCGATCATGAGAAATATGTAAATAATCCATCTGTCTTGACAATTTAATTCTCTTTTCATTCGACTAACAGAAATGAATGTGGAGACTAGAACGCTCAGTTTAAAGGAATTATGGAGTCGAGAGGGTGACTATGATATGTGTAAGTTATTCTGAAGTATAAATGACTAGGATTGATTACTATCAGAATTCGACCAATGTGAAAACGATCGATTGCACGATCTGTGAATCCATTCCCTGCTTATATTGATTCGTTAGAAGAGCTGCGTGCATAAAACAGTATTATAAACACACATCGTACCATTTGGAAAAGTTGTTGACACATTCTCGTATTACCTATGATCATCAGAAGTAAATAGGTAAGGAGGATCACAGAAAAATGTTTGACTATGAAAAGAAAGTTGATTACTGCTTTGAAAGATTCACAATTTTGACTTTCTCATATATACAATGGAAGCGTTACCAATACAAAACTATATGAGTTATTGATACACAAAATCATGTTGTTGACAGCAATGTGTCAGAAGACATATCAACATCATTGTATTTTGATTTAACTTTTCAGTTAAGCGCAGTCTAGAAGGTTCAATAAAACTAGTGGAAGATTATTTAGCTGGTTATAGTTATTCGATACGTAAGTAGGATTTGTGGAAGAATTGTTCTTTAATTTTGTTCTTTTTAATTATTAAATGTTCACGATCGTACGTTCAGAGACGTTCAAATGACATATATTTAAGTAGAATTTTTATATCGGTTTCACCTGCAACGATTGTTGTAGATATTTTCAGTTCAACTCTGAAGTATATGAGGTTTAAAACATTGGTCAGAAATCGATATCTCTTTCGGATGTAAAGTAATTTGTTCCATTGCTGATTCATTTTCAGTTAAGCAAATCACACTGGAAGCTATTCGCGAAAAGTATGAGAACGGATTGCGTAAGTGGCATTATCAATATAATCACCTCGTGAAGTCACATGATTTCCACTAACCAACTGGTTAATCACAATCAGCGACATATCGTGTGACTCACGATGTTTATAAGCTGTTTTCCGTTTCTCCACAGGTCACCTTAACAAGTAACTGAGAAGTTTGCTTCGGAATCTCTGGCTAACGCACATTCTTTCACAGTCAGCTTTCCAGCACTTAACTCTCTGTAAAACTGCCTGTAGCGAGTAACCATGATTCAATAATAATACGAATATTTGGAAAGATCTGTTGGTTTTTTTTTGAATACCATGGGGAGGAATCGCTTTTGAATCTGTTCAGACGGAATACCATGTTCATTTGGGAAATGTTTCTCAGACCTAACTAGTTGTGTGGAAGTGGTTAACAATGAGATGTTGAGAAGTATAATATGAACTGTGTTAAGGATATTTTTCTGATGCATTCAGCTTTTCTAACGTACTGCTGTCCACTAGGTATGTTTCTGTTGTTAGTTTAAATGTAGCCTTGTTGATAGCGTGTCAGAGAGTTTCTTACCTGAATCTCCGTTAAAAATAAGTTGATAGTGTCTAGTGTAATGAGAGAATATTTTAGAAGAAAGTGATACTGGAAGTTGCCGGCAGTTATTCATAACCTGCACCAGCCAACCGCTCTATCTTCTCTCACAATTTTTCACCTAGAATCACTCATTCATATTCAGCCTACACTTGATTCTAATCCCGGTCTGAGTATAACAATCATCTACTTCCACAGATTCACATACGTTACAATATATGAACTACCAATTCACAATAATCGATTTCGTGTAAAACGAATAAGATCCTTCATCAATACTTAACTCACCTTAAGAAACTCGTTCGTTTGATATTGTTCAAATGTGCTCATAGATAAGTGCAGGGAATCATCAGTGGCGATAGTACTCAAGATCTTACGTTCAAGAATATAACTTACGTTCTTCATATTCAAGCCACGAAATCTATATTATCACCATGTTATCCACTTACATGGATGCATGAACTACGTGCCAGAATATAACAGACTATTTTATGCCACAATCGGTTCGTCTGAAAATCATAGCAATTCCTGTATAGAGCTAGTCATACGTGGACGTTATGCAGAGTTGCCATGCACGGGAATGATTCAAAGTAGGTTCATTTGGAATTTTATCAAATAGAAAAAGCAGGAGGGTTGTACGTAACTTTGACCATTAAAAATGAGAATGTTGAAATAGAAATAATAGAATCGACAGTAATGAATATCACAACTACAGAGATTTCAACATGAGTTATTTTTCTGCAAACAGTTAGGCACTTATACAAAAAGTTATCCATCTATATTACAAATAAGCTCTTACTGGACGACATAAATATGATTTCATCTGACACTCATGTTCTTTTAGTTAAACGTGAATTCAGCTCAGTAGCCTCCTGCTGGAAATAATGAACACTATCAAATTATGGCGGTTTTGCTCATGCACGTGCGGTTATAGGACGTAAGTGTTGTCTAACAGTAAGCGACGGTTGACGACCGAATTGTCAAAAAAAGTTCCTCTAACTAAGGAAGTACCAAACGAGAAGTGACGTGTTTGCTTCACGAGTTGAGGTGCCACGTCCAAGTGGTTTGTATCAAGAATCTGAAGACTGCATTTGAAAGGCTTGAGCAGAAAGCGCTGTCGACGGGAAGCGACTGACCGTAATTTAAAGTTGGTGTATAAGCACAAAGTACTGAAATCATTGTCTCAAACAACGATGACGGATTTTGAATTCGAGGTAATTGTGTTTATCTGAGTAAAAATGATTGCAGTACAAGGTACTGCCAAATATTTTATTCTGATCGGACTAAACGTACATATCACCATGAAAAATCGGGCATGACTTTCAAGTAGCTGCTTAGGGCTGACGATGACTTACTTATGTATTATATGATGCTTAACAACCGTCATCTGCCCATGGCAAAAGTCTCTAATATTTGAGCAAGTGTGATTGGATTGGTCGAAAATTCTCGTAGTCATAGTGAGATGCCGAGATTGTGATTTTTTATTTTGTACTTTGGTTCACTAACGTTAATAAAACTGTAGGATTCCAAGAAAACACAAAACAACCTCATCATCGTAGTTTCGTCTTTCTGACAAATGGACGTTAATTATCTAACAGAGGAAGGAGGACGGCTAGCGTTCCGTCAACTGATCTAGTGACAAATCGTTTCCATTTCTAAATACGATAGGCAAAGAAGTCATAAAATTTTACTGTTAATTTTTTCGTTAGGAGAAACGAATTCCGTTGAGACCGTTTCATAAAGATACTTTATTATTACTGCGTTCAGTAAAGAATAGTAAGTATGAAATCTGGATAGCTAGAAAATAACTGTCGAATCGAAGACGTCTATTAAATTCTACTTTTCTGAAGTCCATTGGTGTTCGAATTTAGTTAACAACTACAATAAATGAAAGGCAAGAGTGTGATTCTATGTCGGACATTATTCATAAGAAAAAGTGTGTCATAACTAGGCTTCAGTGCAAAATGCTGTCATATGATCTCTTATCCAAACTGCAAGGCGAGAGAGGTGAATTTCATTGGAATGACTGTTGCGACGCAAACGCTGCGTAATCAGTGACATATTGGGTAATCGACATTGAGAAGGTGTTACAGTCTTAAATTGTTACTGCCTTTAACCTTAAACAAGACACAAACAAAAAAGGACAGCCGAGTAAAATAGCGCTGCACAAAGTTAAGATATATTCAAGCGTATCATTGAGTTAATCGAAGAACCTGTCCACAACTCAATGAGCGTCATCTGTCAATACAGCTGATTTCTGACAGGCTATTGCTGTAGAATCTTGCTTGTCAAGCCCTTATGCCCCAAAGGAAAACGCTTTCTACGCTGTCTA